TCTTGTGTGTTTTTTCTTTCTGCATCCGCTGGTAGAGAGAGGGCGCCTCAATCCTGGATCCTGCCGCCGCCGGACATGTCGGGCACCCATCCACCCACCATCCCTCCAGGTCTCTTTCTAATCTCCCGCGCTGAACACTCATCTCCCCTTATTGATCCACGATCTCAAAACCCCAAATATCCAAATCGACCAGCCATGATGAATCTGTCGGACCACCATCTCGTTAGCAAAAAAGTCGACGAGGTTAATCCATCGCTTCTCTAGCAGTAATCCGGCGCCTCTGATCCTCAGCTCATGTCCCCGGGTATGGATTCCCAAACTCCAGCCCTGCTTCTCCTGTCACCAACACTGTCGATCCAACCCTAGAGCTCAGCGTTGTCGTCGTCGATGACTTTCCACCCCTACGCGCCTTTCCTCTTCTTCGACCCTCCATGTTTCCCTTGGCCTCAGTGGCGTGAGTTCCCCTCCGATTCCCACAGGCTCTGCTGAGATCGCAAAACAGTTTTCCCACATCTGACGGAGCAATTCCTCCGATGCTTCCCCTTGCTTCTGCTCCTACGGGATCCCTCCCCTTTGTTCCGGTGAGGTCGCTCAGGTTCCCCTCTATGCCGACGGAGGTACCGAGATCGATCGGGATGGACACGGATGAGTTATCATTTTAGAATTACCTGAACCCTGAATTTTTATAAAAAAAAATATATCCAACTTGGTCATATATTGGAAAATCAGATATCTGAAAAAATCTCTACGAATACCCGAACCTGGATTTTGAAGTCAAATTTCAATAAAAATGTTAATATTTAAATGAAATCCTACCTAAGAACAGTCCAAATATAAAAATATATTGATCATAAAACATTCTTCCAAATGTTTGAATATAATTTCAATTTCATTGCCATCTCCAACTTTGCCGCCACATTAAGGACGTGTCTTTGCTAGCATCTTTTTGGATCTATAAAAAGAGAGAGAAGTAAATCATATCATAAAACGAAAAATCAAACAATATAGGACCTACACAAATACCCTATGTACGGTTTATGCAACATTCTCCATGAATCACGTGATTATCTCTTTTTCGAATGCCACTTCACATCGGACATATGGCTGAAAGTGTGTAGGCGTTTGGGTATTACGGATCCTCCTCAATGTATGGCCCTTCATTTTGAATTGACTGCTAGATGGCAATGCTTGTTATACCTGATCTGGAAGGAAAGGAATAAACGGATCCATGACCAACTGTTTTGTTGGAGAACACGCTACTAAAAGAGTTTGACAAGATAATCCGAAACAAAGCTGCCGCCATTCGTTTCCACAAACCATCTCTTGCGAGCCCACTACTCCAGACTTGGATTCGCAGTGCCTATGGGGAATGGCTATATTTGTATTTTTCTTTTGATCCTTAATCCTTATACTATGCATCCTGATTTTCATTAATATGTCCAAACTTTTACTTTCATACGTGCATATAAAAACGTCTTAACACACATAAATACAAACTTAAAGCAGTCATTACAAAATTTACTTTTCTAAAAACCGAAACAACGTAACACGAGACATACCCATAAATAACTACCCTTAACTGCATTTTGATAAAACTGCCAAAAACACAAACTGTCCAGTTCCCCTGTTTGGTGCTTGAACTTCAGATTCCATCAACTCCATCTTCGGATTCCTTCCTGTTAGATCTTGACCCAAATCACAACATATCATTCAACTAAAAAATATTAACAAAATAACTTTTAAATATTTAAACAATGAAAAATAAAAAGTCACCTATTTTTCGTCGTCTTCATAAACGATTATATGAAGATATTTGATAAAAATTCTTCCGTATCCTTTAATGCCCCACTTAGGTCCCCAAGAATTACGAAGAAGAAAAAACAGTTTTTCCTCCTTGGTGTATCCATAACCAACGACCAATACGGCATGGGTTGGTTGATCTAAATCCAAAGGCGGTAATGTGCAAATCTCCTGTAAAATGATCACTTTGCTTTAGTTATATATCCATGTAATTAATATATTAGATTTATTTACTAACCTTTTCAAGATCATTGAATTCATCGCTTGTTGAGAGAATTAGAACAAGAGGTCCTTTATCTAGCCGTCGGCGGATGAAGTCTTTATCAGCGTCACATTTGACAACGAATTTTCTTCTTACTATATTCATTGACTGTAGAAAAAAAAACATGTCATTATTTTAAAAAACCAAAACATTATCTTAAACATAAAAAATATTGTGTTGTACGCTCTTACTGCTTGAAACCTGACATCGTTTTTTGGTAGTCCATTGTCCCAGATATATTTGGCTGCAGCCTTCAAAGATCCACTCCTATCAGACTTGTCAGCTTTGCATACTTTAACAAATTTAGCAATATTAAATGTGATGTGGTTTTGTATCGGTTGTCCGCAATTGACAATGCATTGCAACAACAATGACAACGATACCGCCCAACAAGTCTCTGCAAAAAAATTTAAACTTAAATTACCACATTAAATATAATGGAGATTATATAAAACTAATCATATTCACTACGTAATTATGATGCACAAACCTCTTTTTTGTTTGGCGACAACAATATTCAGAATACCGCAGATAGCTCTCCAATCTCGTGTGAGTTCCGTACCATCGCCAAATTCCTACGTGTAGAAGCAAACATATATATAAAAATCAAAATGCAATATACATGATAAACTTTAGTAGACATGATAACAATGTTTAATATTATTTGAAAAATTTTACCCCAACTTCAATTTGACTGAGATCTTGTTGATTAGCCTGCTGAGCTTTCCTTTCCTTATGTTCTTGTTTTCTTGGGTTTGGGCCCTTTGATTTTTTTGGCGCGCCTACGCTGAAGCATACTTGATCCGCATCTATCCATTACAAATACGCACAACGTTAACATGATAAAAATAAATAATTAAAGTCAATGTTAACATAAAAGACAAATAGGAAACAAAAAAACACAAATAAATCTATACACACCTGGCTGTTCGGAAGGAGTGCAATAAGTCCTATCTGAAGAAAGAAAATCATCGACGCTGCGCTTTTTAAGCTTCGATGTGCTCCTCTGAGGTAAAAAGAGCCTTGCATGCTCGTCTTCAGCCTTCTTTAGCAACTTTGCATCTCCAAAAAGACCCAAAAACTACAAAATAAAAAAGAAAAACAAAGCGTGCACCAAATTAGTGTTCATAAAAAAGTGAACGGAGAAGCCTACACCTGACAAGAATGAGAAATGGAATGCTACGGTGACTAACCTCTATGTATACAGAGGATAACTCTTCCCTTTCTGCAGTATTCTGGGAATCTGCATTTGCCATTATAAACCCTTCAACAAGTGACTGCAAGTAATCAATCTGCCTTGGTGCGGGCTGGATCGTCTCGAAGTGAATCAGAGCCTATACAGACAACCCGCAAAGAACAAATGAAGCCAAAATCAATGCTGTTGAAGGTAAGAGAAAAGAGAAGCAACAACAAACAAGGTTGAACCTCCAAGAGTGGTTTTGATGGCTGTGTGTTGTCCAGTCCTTCTAGCAGAATCCTCCTGGCTTTATCGGCATCTCCAGCAACCTGATAAACGTTATTGAAAATGAAACAATAGCATGCCAAATCATACCAAGACTCGTTGAAGCGGAAACACACAAAGCAAAAGGATCGGGGTATGGCTGCTCATATTTCAGAAGCTGAAGGGACTCACCAAATAGGAAAACCTTGAATATTGAGCACACAACACCGGCAATATTAGGGAGTGTTCCTTCTCTTTTTCAATTGCAATAGCTCGTTCATATACAGAGAAAGCATCATCCAAGTTCCCCTACAGATTAGATTAGATGGAGAAAAAAAAGTTTAAGAACGGTCACATGCATATTCGTGTGACTCTTCAATAGTTTGCTCATAGAAACTTACCAGCCGACGCTCCATGTTTGCATGTCTGATTATTACTTCAAGGAGCCCAGGTGCAATTTCAGAGTGGATGAGTTGGTAAGCAGCTCTAGCACCAGCAATGTCCCCATTCTGTTCTTTAAACCGAGCAGCAAAAAGGTGGATCTCGGGTTGTCTCTGTCACAAAACAGGAACCAAATAAACAAGAGACAACTACAACAAATAAATGTACTTCACTACGCAAACTCCAACATATAATCCTCAGACATTTGGACAAGACCATTAGGATACACATTTTATTTAACACTATCCCTGTCAATATCTATAAAATATTTTAAATTTGATCAATATGTAATACAAAGAAACCCTATCTCTCTACCTTGACAAAGACTTTAGTTGCACGAGCAAGAGCATTTTCAGCGAGATCCATGCATCCACTGGCTTCCATTCTTAGCACGTACCGGATCCAATATTCGGGATAATTTGCACATGCAACCACACATCTTTCGTACAACTTGACCACCTGTTAAAAAAACATGATCAATTAATATATGTATATATAACAAAACAGATATCCATTTATAAATAATATTACAAAGGTATATCCATTTATAGATTACCTTGTCTAAATGGCCATCCCTTTCTATGAAATCCAAATAGTTGTGCCAATTCTCCAGTTCAGCCGCACCAAGGGGAAGCACGTGGAAATAGGGTCTTCTTATAGCCATTTCGAAGCCAATGATTTTGGATTCAAGCTCTTTGGCTTTCTTGTACATGTCTTCTCTTATGGCTATGTATTTCCTCAACTCCTCTGGTTCTGTAGGAACATCAGCTTGCAACTCTTCATCGGACAGTGCAATTCCAGCAGCAGCTGAGCCAGTAAGAGCTTCATCGGCGGCGCTCTTTAAGTCAGAGAACGGCCGTGCTTCGACTAGTTCCTTGAATCTACGATACAAATTATATAAGAAAAGAGAGAAATATGAGGAGAAATCGGGTAAAGAACGCATTAGAAATCAAATTCTATCGTGGATATCTCTTAGACAAGTGATCTCTTGGCATCCAAAAATGGGTTTAATTAACCACGATATACACTACAAAATGATGTAAGATATTGATTGATTAAGTTACCTATCGAAATATCCATCCAAATTCTGGATTGGACTCTCCAGTATCCTTGTGTGTATCATGGCAAGCCGTCTCCACTCCTGCTGCGTGTACTCGTACTCAATGTATTTGTCCCATAACGGACAAGACAAATAATCGGTCCCAACATGGGCCAACCCTCGCTCAAAAAGACTGCGACAACATTAAAGAAGAAATATCACAAGATATATATATGATGAATATCAAGAACGCAAATACACTCCATCAGTAAAGACAAATAACAACTTTATCGACATGCATGATTAAATTCACTCTTTGAATGCATGGTTCACTAAAGCTGAACAATATATAAATCATTTTACCATGATTCTGATGATATGTCCACAAACGATATGGGCTATATAATGAGCACCTATTATTACCTTCTAATAATGCCTGGATCCCCATAAGTATTGATTGCAAAAAAGCAATAATGCAACCAAATGTTCACAGAATACGCTGCCCCTTGAACTGCTCTCTCATAAACTTCCACAGCTTTGTCCATTGCCCCCTCGTGAGCCTCAGCATCGGCATATTTTTTCCAATAGCCATAGCAAAGGGGAAATTCAGCTAAGAAAGCATCATAAACTTTCCGAATTTTTGCTATATTATCCTGTATAACGTAGAAAAATACATTAGCCCTTTAGAGAAATATGGCATAAAGAATATACATGCTATATGTAAAAGCTTAGCAAGATGTATGACAAAAAAGACAACTGTATGGAGATCAAGGCGTACCTCAGATGTCTTCTCTGTCTCGTCAAGAAGGGCAGTCCATGCATTGAAATCTTGGGGGTTAACCCTTATGATATTCCATAAACGCTCCTCTTCAGATGGAAGAGAAGGTGCTGCAGTAACAAAATAATCACACTTTTAAATTAAACAAAAACAGAAGGTGGTGGCTAGAAAGCACACGTGCCCTAAAAGCCTTGTTAGTGAGAAGAACAAAGCTGGTTACCAGCACTATCTTCGTCATCAGGAGCCGCATCCATACGTGGTGTCGACTTCATTCTCTCGTTTCCCTGTAGATTTTAACCTTCCACAAGATGAAGCATTATAATCCTCCACAAGAACAAGATGAAGCATTTTAATATTTTCGACTTTTTTTCTCTAATCAAGTTATATTCCGTCTGCATTAACCAGCTTTTGGGTTCAGACAAATTTTTCAATGGGAGATACGAAGGCGACTTGGTGTATGGCCTTCGTTCTTCGTAACAAAAAGAAAGAAACAGTTACAGAACTAAGGAGGAGGAATGCATACAACCAAACATGAACTAGAGCGAGAGAGAGGCTCACGTGTTCTTCCCGGCGGTTCCGCCTCTGCTCAGCGATGCGAAACTCAATCTGCGAAATATCCCATCAACACCAATGGATGAAAAAGATGGGACTATATATATATATGTTACCTGATTATTGGCTTTCCCTTTGGAAGCGGAGCAGCAGCTGGTGATGATATACGCGGTTCAGGTGCAGCAAGCTCAAATGTTTCTTACAGGAGGGAGATGGAGTTCTTTGGACAGATTTTCAAAACAACACAGAGACGGAACGGAACCTGCCTGAGACTGTTTCCCCTCGGCATGTCATAAAACTGTTTTACCCCTACTACCACAGTTAATTACAATTTTACCCTCGCTAGGGCATGAACCTTTCTGCAACATAGTACGAGCAGAGAAAATTCGATTTGCCCCTCACGATATTCGAGTTTTTTTTTTCGTTCAAATTTATAACCTATCTCTCTTGTTTCATAGTATAATTTTGGTTCCACGGCATAAAGAATATAAAGAAGGGAAGTGAAAATGCGTTTTGTTATTTTCGTTCAAATTTAGTGTTCATTGACAGAATTGTAAATTTTGAATAATAGTTCCAGTTGATTTTATGATTTCTGTTTTGCTTTTCGTATTGTTCTTACGGTTCACAATTGATAAATAAAGAGAAATATAAAATATATAAAAAAATGGATGGTATGGAGATGACTTTTTTAATATATTAAATGAAAAATATTTAGTATATTGATGGTGCTGCTTTTAGGGTTTAGAGGTTTATTCTAAGTTTTTTTTTTAACGATAACAATTCAGAACATCTCCGTGAAGAATTTTGACCCGACCACCTTAGTGAAAGGGTTCCAGACTTGCAGAACAAGTATCGTAACTTGTTATACCTGAAGAAGAAAACCCATTATTCTTATATTATTTGAATGTGTGTATATATATATATGTGTGAATGCAGTATATAGACAAGGGCTATTAAATGCGCCGTCTGAAAACATCTTCAGCTTTTTTTAAAACATGCGTCCGGTTTCCCCAAAACCAGAGTACATGCTTTTAATTAAACTCCACAAGACTTTGGAAAAACATTCTTCGGAATTTTGTACATATATGCACTTACTATACATACATATATATATATATATGTATTGCGATAGACAGATTAACATGTATATTATATATAGCTGCAGGGTTGATAATAAAGCAATGAGTGTTAATAGTTCGTGCCATTAGGGTTTGACGCTTAGGGTTTAAAATAATGTCGATTCCCCATGACTCTTGAACGTGTAAGGTCGGCTACAAACTAAATTAAAAAAAAAAAACTGATTTCAATGTTTTATCGTGGTAATTCATATTTTGTTTTTACTTTAAGGTGAAAAAAAAAATGAGAATATGCGGCAGGGTTTTTGTTTCATGTGCAAGGGAAGGAGGAGAGGGTGCCATTAATGAGCTTTTCAAAAACATAGTACACGCAAAAATACAAACAATCTGCATATCGTATCAGAGCGATGATCAGCAATTGTCTCGCAGTATATACATACATACACACACATATATACGCAATATCTCTAAAGGAGAGAGAAATGCGACAACGTCTTATTATTTTCGTTACAATTCAGAGTTTGAAAATTTCCCACAAGATTTTAAGAATTATTTTTAAAAAATTTGTCTCTTTGATATAAAAGACTTCCGAGTTTTCAAATATATATATATATTTTTATTTTAGTTTTGCATTCATAATATGCAATATACTCTTTTTTTTTTCTTCTTCTTCTTCATAGAAATAGGAGAGGGTGCAGTTAATGCCCCTTCCAAGCCCATGAAACTTTTCAGAAGCACAGAACAGACCCGAAATACAAATTTACCCGGAGAATATTCACATCACCATGGTCCCACAATACACATTATACGTATGTGTATACGACAAAATTCTTAGAATTCGGAACATGATAAGGAGTTTGATGCACGTAGGTTCATGTCATGATGGTGCTTCTTATTCGGATGTTTATTCCAAATTTCTAACGGAGTCGAATCTGTTCAGTATATATCAGTCTAAACTGTGGTTTCACGAACGACACAGTGCTCACGAGAGAAACTAGTACTTGTCGTCTATTGAGTACTGGTTGATTAAAATTAATTTGATCTAAATCTAATTAGTTATCAGCGTTTTAGAAAAATGTTAGTTTCTTAAAAATGAAATTTTGTTTCAAGTTAAAATAGAGCGTTAAATTGACGGTAGATTCTTTACTTACCTCTGTTCAATATTCATTTCAAATTGTAAAGGAATTCAAACTCTTGACTCTAAAGGAATTTAAAATTGTAAATTGTTATACACAAAAAATGCTAGTCAATAAAAAAAGAAGGTCGATGCTAATACTACATTTGTTTATAGTACATGAACTACTTGTGCCAAACATTGTAATTTAGAAAAAAAAAAATGCTCGTTCATATAATTCAAAAAATAAAATAAAAAAACATAATATTTAAGTAAATCAAAATCCAAACTTTATACCGAAAAATCAAATCCAAACCTAATTAAACTATTAAAATGTTCAATTCAAAACCGGATCACGTTTCCGGGTTTCGCAACGGACGGATTTTGACCCGGCTTGACTAAAGAAAATAAAATACGCAGACACAGAACTAGAACAGACTCTATAAAGAAGATAGAGTCACATGTTTCTGAGAATGAGAAAAATAATACTCTATGTTTTTCATATATGTCTGTAAAGACTTTGTACAGGATTTATAATACAAACATGGGTTGTGTGATAAAGGAAAGTTACAATATACACGTAAAGAGAGAAGAGAGGTTTTGGTAACTCAATATTGATCTTCACAGAAAAGGGAATTTACTTGATTCTCGTGAGGAATTGTTAATCAATCGTGATTCTGGTCTTCTTTTGTCCATGAGTTTCCTGCTTCGTTGCTGTCTGAGTTGACTTTGTCCACCATTGGTTCGTCTCCTTCCTTATCGGTTGCCTCGACCCCATTCACTCCGCTAACATTGACCCCATCACCATTGGCTCAAACTTCCGAATTTGCAGAACCACCAGTACCGCTGTCACTCACTTTCTGCTCACGCGCGAGCTTTCATCTCTCACCTCCTGACCGCCGATCAACGTCCTCCTCCGCCGCCTCTGGTCCTCTACCGGCGAACTTTCGTTCGACTTTCCGGTGAGAAACCCTAATTACCTCACTCGCTTTATTGACCTGGAGCCGGAGCCCTAACTGAGGTGAGTTTCTAATAAAATTTCTCTGCCTTCTCTTGCCGTTTCTTCTCCATTGTGATCGAGACGTTGCTCGTGCTTTGTGAAAGAGAAAATGTTTCTGCTTGCGACCGTTGGGTTTTCTCAAGTTGATGTTTCGCCTTCTGGTGTCAGCTGTTAATTTCTCCTGCGATTTTTAGGTCGCGCTTATACTGTCGGATCAATTTTACTTGTTCTTCTGCTGCTAATATGTTGGATTTTTAGGTCAGTCTGCTTAATTAGGTAAGAAGACGTATCCTTTGGTGTCTTCGATCATTATCCGGGTTCCGATTTTCTTCGGTTCCCATTGGCGATCGTCTTGTGGGTTATTAGAGAGATGAAATTCTGTTCCTCTTCTTCAAATTTCTGATGTTTTATCGACCAGATGATTCAATCGTCTATGTGTTTTTAGGGTTTTGGTTTGTAATGTTGATTCATCGGTCCATTTACAAGTTCATCTGTCTAACCCCAAATATCATGAGCACGCGGTCTTACATGTGAAGGGTCTTCTTTCCTCCGTCTGGTTATCCTAGGGTTTTATTTTAGGAAATGAATTGTTTCTTAATCATCTCTGGTTTTACTCCCATTTTACGGCTTCGGGCAGATGGAAAACTTTCCCCGTGGTCGTCTTTTATCAGGCAGGCCACTGAACTGAATTTGACTATTTTGGTTTAGACAGTCATTGGATGAAACTATGCCACCAAACCCGAATATCAAGAGAGCGTTTGAGGCCATGAAATGCCTCGGCTTTGAGGAAAAAAGTTAAAAAAGAGTCCAACTTGGGATCTGGGTAAGCCCTCAAAAGTGATTTGGAATTCATCACCCGTCTCTTTTCGCGTCACCGCCACGCACATGATTTCTCTCATCTTGTTCTTGTTCTTGGAGTCTCTGTCCGGTGTTTTCTTCATCTTTGATTATTTCTGTATTTTATTATATAAACTTTAGAGTTTTTTTTTTCTCTACACAAACTCTATTGGTACAGTTTTATGTTAATACAATCACCATTTACTAAAGACAACTTTTTCTTGTGAACTGTTATATAAATGCTAAATTAATTAAAATATGTTTTTACTTGGGTTCGAATCCCTAATACACGTACGAAACATCCGGAAAACAATAGCCCACTGCCCATATATAAAGGGTTAAAAAATAAAAGAAAAGGGAAAAAGACGGTATAAAAAAAACATGAACCGAGGATTCACCCCCTTGGGATCGTAACTTTACCAAAAAGCTCCTGGGAGCCCCAAATCGGGTGGAAAGTTGCAGTTAGGGTTTTCAATTGAGTTGGAGACGACGATGGAGAGCGAACACGACATGATGGAGACTCCCGCAGAGGCTTTGTGTTCATCTCTGGGAAAGCGCAAGGCGGAGGGCCAAGGCCTGCGCGCGAGCTTTCATCTCTCACCTCCTGACCGCCGATCAACGTCCTCCTCCGCCGCCTCTGGTCCTCTACCGGCGAACTTTCGTTCGACTTTCCGGTGAGAAACCCTAATTACCTCACTCGCTTTATTGACCTGGAGCCGGAGCCCTAACTGAGGTGAGTTTCTAATAAAATTTCTCTGCCTTCTCTTGCCGTTTCTTCTCCATTGTGATCGAGACGTTGCTCGTGCTTTGTGAAAGAGAAAATGTTTCTGCTTGCGACCGTTGGGTTTTCTCAAGTTGATGTTTCGCCTTCTGGTGTCAGCTGTTAATTTCTCCTGCGATTTTTAGGTCGCGCTTATACTGTCGGATCAATTTTACTTGTTCTTCTGCTGCTAATATGTTGGATTTTTAGGTCAGTCTGCTTAATTAGGTAAGAAGACGTATCCTTTGGTGTCTTCGATCATTATCCGGGTTCCGATTTTCTTCGGTTCCCATTGGCGATCGTCTTGTGGGTTATTAGAGAGATGAAATTCTGTTCCTCTTCTTCAAATTTCTGATGTTTTATCGACCAGATGATTCAATCGTCTATGTGTTTTTAGGGTTTTGGTTTGTAATGTTGATTCATCGGTCCATTTACAAGTTCATCTGTCTAACCCCAAATATCATGAGCACGCGGTCTTACATGTGAAGGGTCTTCTTTCCTCCGTCTGGTTATCCTAGGGTTTTATTTTAGGAAATGAATTGTTTCTTAATCATCTCTGGTTTTACTCCCATTTTACGGCTTCGGGCAGATGGAAAACTTTCCCCGTGGTCGTCTTTTATCAGGCAGGCCACTGAACTGAATTTGACTATTTTGGTTTAGACAGTCATTGGATGAAACTATGCCACCAAACCCGAATATCAAGAGAGCGTTTGAGGCCATGAAATGCCTCGGCTTTGAGGAAAAAAGTTAAAAAAGAGTCCAACTTGGGATCTGGGTAAGCCCTCAAAAGTGATTTGGAATTCATCACCCGTCTCTTTTCGCGTCACCGCCACGCACATGATTTCTCTCATCTTGTTCTTGTTCTTGGAGTCTCTGTCCGGTGTTTTCTTCATCTTTGATTATTTCTGTATTTTATTATATAAACTTTAGAGTTTTTTTTTTCTCTACACAAACTCTATTGGTACAGTTTTATGTTAATACAATCACCATTTACTAAAGACAACTTTTTCTTGTGAACTGTTATATAAATGCTAAATTAATTAAAATATGTTTTTACTTGGGTTCGAATCCCTAATACACGTACGAAACATCCGGAAAACAATAGCCCACTGCCCATATATAAAGGGTTAAAAAATAAAAGAAAAGGGAAAAAGACGGTATAAAAAAAACATGAACCGAGGATTCACCCCCTTGGGATCGTAACTTTACCAAAAAGCTCCTGGGAGCCCCAAATCGGGTGGAAAGTTGCAGTTAGGGTTTTCAATTGAGTTGGAGACGACGATGGAGAGCGAACACGACATGATGGAGACTCCCGCAGAGGCTTTGTGTTCATCTCTGGGAAAGCGCAAGGCGGAGGGCCAAGGCCTGGATGAATCCGATGGCAGCGGAGAAGGCGAGATCGAGAAAGGATCGGCCGAAATCACAGAGGCGTCCAAGATGTCTGGATCTTCTTCTCCGATGACGGAGAACTCGAAAAGGAACGATTCAAAGGTATGGGAATGGGGGTAAGACAGTTTCGAGGGCCAAGAATACAAATCTCCTTCTGAAGACGATTGTTCAGACAAGGAATATAGTGCGAAATTCCGAAGATACGTGAGGCAGTATTATGAGCAGAAGGTATTGAGTTTGCACTTGGGAACTTGTTCTGTCTAAATATCGCCGTTTTGTGGTTCGATAAAGCTAAGAATTTCTACCCTGAATATGCCTGATTGTGATTCGGAACCTTCTTTTTGTAAGTTCTCGTAGTTGTCTCATTACGATAATTAGAAGTTGTCTCCCTCGACCTTACTACCGGTTTCTATATGGCCTTGTCATGGGTAAAGTACCTAGTGGGAGGAGTCAGTCAGTCCTTCCGTTGAAGAGCGGGAGAAAATGTACGTGGCAGTGGTACCAGGCAGGCAAAACCAAGCGTCAGCAAATGGAAGATGCGGCTAAGAAGGCTGTGGAGAAATACAACCAGATTAGCTCGCGTATATGCAAAGATCCAAGACGTTTACCATGTTAGACCATATATTCTCTGTGTTTCTTTCTCGATGGACCGTTGCATTTCCTAGGGAACCCATATGGCATTCGAGAAATTGGTGAGGGTGAACATATCCGTGTCCGCTATAATTAGAGCGTACATCTATCTTGGCCAAGGAGAATCCGGATGAACCACCAGTGGAGTACCAAGTGAAGGTACAACGTAGGACCCGCCAGGAGTTCCAACCTATTTTATGCAGGCCACCCCCTACCAAGTGAAAGGGTCCTCTCTAAATTTCTTGTTTCAAAGCTTGAGTTTTCGCCATGTGGAAAGACAAAATCTGCTATTGAGAACCGTGTGGATGCATACGAAACTTGTTGGCACGTCAACAGCTCAATTTGTGTCCCTGCATGCACACGTGATCGTAAAACCAGACCGCAGATTTTTGTCGTGTTTTATTTTTTCATCAAACTTGTGCACTCTGTTACCGAATGTTTGAATGTTGACTAATATGATCTTGATTTGTGAACTGCAGACCGATGTTGCGGAGCGGTCAGGAGTGGCGAGGTGTTCACGGCAGTCTGTCATGTTTATATATATATATAATATATATTTGCTTGTTTAGCTTTGGACTTCACTTGGATATGTTTGATATCCTTTTTAGGGACTGAAAACTGTCTAAACGGTGAATTTACTGACAACATTTTTCGGTAATCCACCAGGTTCAAATCCCATGGGCAACCAATTATAAAAAAAAAAAAAACATTTTTCGGTAAGGTATGAAATATTTTAATTTGTCGCATGTTTATTTATGTTTCATGGTTATTATTTAGAAATATATTTCATTCAAATCCAATTATTATTTATAAAAAAATGTATTTTTATTCAAATATTTTTATAAAACGTTCGGTGCTAATTGACGGAGAGAGTTTGATCTATCTGATATTCTGAATACATATTAAAAACTAATCAGAATCAAAATTTCAATGTAAAATCAGTGATCGTTTAAATGAAGATAAAAACTATTCAACGATAACAATAAATTAGGATAAAATTTACCATATTCCTCCAAATCCAACTTTATATATATATATATATATAGTTTTATAATAAAATTTATTCTAAACCAAACAAATAATTTATATTATTTTTTTATTAAATTCATATCAATTAAATTTATAATAAAATAGTCGTTGTCTATTGATTGATTAAAAATATTTTTATCTAAATCTAATTAATTATCAGCGTTCTAAAGGAATTCAAATTTCAAACTTCGAGACTCTGATCTATATTTTTTGTTATAATATATATATATATACACACATTGCAAAAGTAGTATATGAACTACTTGTGCCAAACATTGTAATCTAGAAAAAAATGCACGTTCATATAATTCAAAAAATACAAAACATAATTAAAAATAATAATATTTAAGTAAATCAAAATCTAAACTTTATACCGAAAAATCAAATCCAAAACTAATTAAACTAATAAAGTGTTCAATTCAAAACCGGATCACGTTTCCGGGTTTCGCAACGGACGGATTCTGACCCGACTTGACCCCATTACCATTAGCTCAAACTTCCGACTTTGCAGAATCACCAGTACGGCAGTACCACTGTCACTCACTTTCTCCTCACGCGCGAGCTCTCATCTCTCACCTCCTGACCGCCGATCAACGTCCTCCTCCGCCGCCTCTGGTCCTCTACCGGCGAACTTTCGTTCGACTTGCCGGTGAGAAACACTAATTACCTCACTCGCTTTATTGACCTGTAGCCGGAGCCCTAACTGAGGTGAGTTTCTAATAAAATTTCTCTGCCTTCTCTTACCGTTTCTTCTCCATTTTGATCGAGACGTTTCTCGTGCTTTGGAAAGAGAAAATGGTTCTGCTTGCGACCGTTTCACAGAGTATAGTTGTTGCGTGACTGTTGGGTTTTCTCAAGTTGATGTTTCGCCTTCTGGTATCAGCTGTTAGCTTCTCCTGCGATTTTAGGTCGCGCTTGTACTGTCGGATCAATTTTTCTTGTTCTTCGGCTGCTAATGTTGGCTTTTTAGGTCTGTTTACTTAATTATGTAAGGAGACGTATCCTTCGGTGTCTTCGATCATTATCCGGGTTCCGATTTTCTTCGGTTCCCATTGGCGATCGTCTTGTGGGTTAGTGAGATGAAATTATGTTTCTTTTCTTCAAATTTCTGATGTTTTATCGAGCAGATGATTCAATCGTCTATGTTTTTTAGGGTTTTTGTTTGTAATGTTGATTCATCGGTCTATTTACACGTTTATCTGTTTAACCCCAAATATCATGCGTACCCGGTCTTATATGTGAAGGTCTTATTTCCTTTGTTTGGTTGTAGGACTGAGTTTCTTAGTATCCTTAGTAATTTAGGGTTTTGTTCTAGGAAATGAACTGTTTCTTCTTCATCTCTGGTTTTACCCGCATTTTATGGTTTCGGGCGGATGGAAAATTTTCCCCATTGTCATTTTTTTTAATCAGGCGGGCCACTGGATTTACTATTTTGCTTTAGACAGTCATTGGATGAAATTATGCCACCAAACCCGAATATCAAGAGAGCGTTTGAGGCCATGAAATGCCTCGGCTTTGAGGAAAAAACAGTAAGACCGGTTCTGAAAAACCTCCTGAAACTCTATGACAAAAACTGGGAATTAATATCCGAGGACAATTTTAGGGCACTTGCTGAAGCTATCCTCGATAATCAAGAAACAGAGGTTTGTTCTCTTACCTGTCTGTAGTTATATTACTGTATCTGGTTTTCCTTACTGATTTGTAATATATAGGTTATTCAAGAAAAGAAGGGAAAGAAAAAGAAGTTTGAAGAAGAGGATTCATGGGTATGTCCTTTTTTTTTTCTCAAAGCCTTGTTTATGGTTGAGAGAATACAAGTTCCAATCCTTGTTTCTTTTTTTGCTCCTTTAACACATCTGGCTTTGTTGATTATCTGATCGCTCAGGGTGAGGAAGTGCATGGCACAAACAAGAAGCCTCCTGTGGTATGTGAACAGAATCTTTTGGTTGTCCTCGAATCTTGTTTCACTTGTATATTGCATTTATCTAATGTGCCGTGTATGATCAGTCTGAAGAGGATGGTGAAAATGATTTAGCCGAGCCTGAACATCCTCTAAAGAGGCAGCGCCGTCGAGCTGGAGACTCTGCACAGACTTTGAATGGTAGTCCAAGCCCTAGCATTGAGGCTCCTTTGTTAAATGAGCGAAAAGCTGAGAACAGAGAAAATCGTCCATCGTCATTACCTACCCAGCTTAAGGTGGATGTCCCTGCAACTACCTGTCCACTTATTATCCCCAAAGATGAGCCCTTTACAGACGATATGCCACTCAGTGTGATTCATCCAGGTATCATCTTGCGGAAAGCCAGAAGAACCTGTCGTTCTTTTATTTTTTATGTGGTTCTGATAATGAGTTGTCGGATCTATGCCTTAAATACTGATCAATGTGTTGGAATCTTGTCTCTTGTGTGCCGCTCTTCAGATACTTTTGATAAGGGGAGTGCTTCATATGCATTGAAAATGAGTGGTAATGCTGATGATGCTCCTCCTCCAGAACACTACAGGGAATCAGAAGTTAACGCCAATAATTCTTCTTCTTCTGCTATTGAAAAATCAACGGGGCACAAGTTGGATGTAGTCGCTGAAGAAGCTTCAGCTGTTGAATTAGCTTCTTCTCCATTGGGGGAAGTAAAGATCAATCTGAGTTTCAGCCCTACTACTGGCGATTTTCGCCAACCATCTCTCGATGATCTATGGAGAGCAATGGAAGAAAAGTGTCTCCGGTCATACAAAATCCTAGACCCCAACTTTTCGGTCCGCAATTTTATGAGTGACATGTGTGGCTGCTACCTAGAACTGGCAAAAAATTCAGCCAACCAATCTCCAGAAAAGTTACCATACATCACACCCAACCTTGATATTTTGAAGAAGTCTTCAGCAAGGAATCTTGTTTTCTCCAGTGGCACTAAAGAATCTATCTGTCAGATGGGGGGTGTCGAAAATGGTGAAGTTGGTATTGCTGATCATTCTGAGTCTCGGGGTCTGGTGGTTGTTCCTGAGTGCCAAATCTCTGCTGATGGCTGGAGATCAATCAACAGCTTCAGTGACATCACTCAAGGAGAAGAAACGGTTGAGATTCCATGGGCGAATGAAGTCAACAATGAGTTACTTCCTTCTTTCCGTTACTCAGCTCAGAGCCTCGTGTTTCGAGATGCCTCAGTGAAGTTCACGCTCTCCAATATCAAAGATAACGAATGCTGCTTTTCTTGCTTTGGAGATTGCTTGGCTTCTCCAATGCTATGTAGATGTGCAGTTGCCGATAGTGGGTTTGCTTACACTTCCGATGGCGTTTTGAAGGAAGATTTCCTTGAAGATTGCATATCTGTGATCCGTGATTCGCGTTATCAGTGTCTCCAAATTTGTAAAGAGTGCCCACTAGAGAAAGCAAAGAAAGGAGAGGTTCTGGATCCGTGCAAGGGTCATTTAAAGAGGAAGGTTATTAAAGAGTGCTGGAGCAAATGTGGCTGCAATGCAAACTGTGGTAACCGGGTAGTGCAACGACGGATACACAATCAGTTGCAGGTGTTGTCTTTCTTTCTGTTTGCTTTGTTTTTCTATTCTGCGTAGCAATCAACTGGTTTCTACTATTCTCAATGTTTCACATCCATATAAGTTACAACACCAATCCAATAACTGAAACCCACCTTGGACAGCAAAACTTGTGGAATTCTGGACTGGTTAGCAATCTTTATTGCATGATCTTATTTGTGTATATTTTTTGTTCAATACGGAATTTGCCTTTATTTATGTATCAGGTGTTCTTTACACCTAATGGAAAAGGTTGGGGCCTCAGAACTCTGGAGAAACTGCCAAAAGGAGCCTTCGTTTGTGAGTTCACAGGAGAGATATTGACAATCTCTGAGATGTACCAACGCGTGTCTAAGAAACACGAATCAACGGTTATATTGGATGCCTACTGGGGCTCGGACTCTGAAAACACATTTGGGGATGACAAAGCTCTGTGTCTTGACGGGATGCAGTATGGAAACGTTGCCAGGTTCATCAATCATAGGTAATTGATAGAAATGGTAAACTGCAAGCTCTCTAGAATATCGTTATTAGAACGCACAAGCATTCCCAGAGAGCCATTGTCTTTTCGTAACCCTTGTCTTTCCCTGGCCTTGCTTCTGAAAATATCAAGACCACAAAAGTTCTACTGATATTCTTCTCATTTTGGTTTCTTTTCTCTTCGCATTTTGTGTATAGATGTATGGACGCAAACTTGATTGAGGTTCCTGTTCATGTGGAGTCGCCAGATCATCATTACTATCACGTATGACTCTGATGACATTTAACATCCATTTGCTGATACAAGTTTCATTTATTTTGTGGAAAACTGACCAGTAGATCATTTATGTTAATCTTTTTCAGCTTGCATTCTTCACGACTAGAGAGATCCATGCCATGGAAGAACTTACCTGGGTGAGTAGATTGTGCACTGGAAAAGGAATAAGATATTCGATTGTGCACTTTCTAGCAGGGTCAGAAACTGCACTGTTTCTAAACGAAAAAAAGGCTTTCTGCTTCGCTGTTTCTTAAATCGTCAGACTTTGATGCTACGGAGTTTTCTGATGTATTTCCAGGATTATGGAATTGAGTTCAGTGATGGCAACTGTTTGATGAAGACGTTCAAATGTCTGTGTGGAAGCAAGTTCTGCAGGGACATGAAGCGAGCAAACGGTAACTATTATCACAAGATTCTAGTTGATGTATTCGATTGGTTCTGGTTTTGTTTTTTTTGTTTTGCTGTTTCACCGTCACCACATTTGGTTTTGGCATTTGCAATGGACTTGCTCGCCTTTCGGTATTTGTTTTCTACTGTTCATTTGGCAGTTGTCTTATTCTGTTTTTAAACATCGTCTCGAATATCTCTCCCCCCCCCCCCCTT